GTTCGCCAACAGAAATAGGTAAATATTCTTCTTTGCAATATTTTCAAGAGTGTAATATTTTTCCTTAATTATTTCAAGTTTTCTTTTACATTTATCTTACATTTGTTTTTCTCTTAAATTTTTTTTCCTTTAAAATCTGTATATACATAATAAGTTTATATATCGGGTGTTCAAAATAAAGTGTGTTACAAACTTATATCTCGGAAACAAAGCATTTTAGAAAAAAATGTTTCAAACAAAAATTGTCTTCAAGGAGGTATAAGATGTCATTAGTTTGACCTTGGATAGTCGTTTGTAGGTCACATGAAAGTCACCATAAATTTCTTAAATTGAATTACCTATTTTTTATTAGCAACAAAATATTTTTCATTAAGTACTTTTTGAATTATAAAGGTTTGAAGTTCACAATTTTTTGACATAAAATGTAAAATATCTTGTAAAACATTTAGTTCTTGATAATCTTACTTTAACACTTTTATGCACGGAATAATAAGACCAAATAATTATTTTAAAAAAAGTATGTAATATATACAACAATACAACTGCGTACTTTTTTTAAAAGCATTGCAACTATTTGTTTTGTTTATACAAATTGATAGCTCTCATTATTCCGTACATAAAAGTATTAAGGTATTAAGATTATCAAGAACTAAATGTTTTACAAGATATTTTACATTTTATGTCAAAAATTGTGAACTTTAAACCTTTATATAATTCAAAAAATACTTAATAAAAAAATATTTTGTTGCAGTGTTTTGAAAAGCTCTCGAGATAAGCTACAAGAATATATAATAAAAAATAGGTAGTCCAATTTAAGAAATTCACGATGACCTTTATGTGACCTACAAACGACTATCCAAGATCAAACTAATAACACCATCTTATATACCCTTGAAACCATATAACTTTTGTTTGAAACATTTTTCTCTGAAATGCTTTGTTTCCGAGATATAAGTTTGTAACGCTTTATTTTGAACACCTGGTATATATCTGCAGATATAAAAAATCTTTAATAGATACTAAAAAATAGCCCACCTTATATATGTATATTATTTCTTTCTTATTTTTTACAAAAAAATAGTTTTTGACTTTAATATTGTTTTTGACTTTAAAGATTAATTTTAAAAAATGAAAATTTTTTTAACAAAAGTTATACATTCTTTGAAGATTAATTTTTAAAAATGAAAACCGATTTTTATTTTTAATAAAAGTTGTAAGATTTTATCAAGATAAATTCAAATATTTTAATTAAGGATTTTCTTGATTTTTCTATGAATTACACGATTTTATATTTTATTTTGAAAACAATAAGTAATTAATAATTATAATTTTAGAGATGATTTCTCGAATAAGATGTCAAACAAATTTAATTGATATCTGTAAACAAATTGATATTGCTGATTTTGTTTATCTTTTGAAGTTAAATAATATTTATATGCGTAACATTTTTTGCAAAAGGCAAAAAAGAAAAAAATATTAAAAATTTTCATATAATCTCTTTTTTAAAGAAAATATCTTTAAATAGAATTGTCAAATTTATTTTGCACAAAATATATTTAAGGGAAATTAATCAATAGATAGAACGTAAGGACCAAATTTATTTGCTATTTTATTTGCCAATCTATAATGTCTCTTGATTTTTTCTTCTAAAATACATATTAAAAAACATAATCATATCAAGAAAGAAAAAATCAATCATACTAAAAAATATAAAAAGCAATAGATTATAGTAGCATTTGGCACAAATAAATTCAGAAATAATAAGTATACACATGATTTTGCGGTTAAAAAATGCGGTAATAAAATTATGCTATTGCAATTATGAATGAATCATTATATATTTCAAACATTTATTTATAATACACTATTATATGGATACACAATAACATTTTTCATTAAATACTAGACAAGCGCGCGCTTATTAATATATATTATAAATTCTAATTCACAATTGATTAATGTTCATAAATAACTAGTAACAACTTTACAAAAAACTATATATATATATATATATATTGATTTTTGTGTCCGTACTTATTGCAAACAAAATAGAAAAGTAAATTAAAAGTTATAACTTTAAAAATTAATTTTTTTATTGTTTACATCAAGCGTGATATTTTTAGTAGCTTTTGTGCAACCGGCGCGCAAAAAGTCGCCCTTTACGCCGCTTTTCTGCAATGATGATTGTTTATCTCGTGTCGCTTTGTTGTAAAATTGAAAGTATCAAGCAACTGTCATCGCGAAGATTAACAATTTGACAGTTAAAAATAAAAAGAAAAACAATATCAATGGCGCGCGCAAAGTGCGTGCTTGTATTGTCTGGTCATTTAAAAACGGCATAAAAATTTTCAGCGTATGCTTTCTCATCTCTGACGACACAATTCAACATGGTCACGGCGAGCGAAAATAATAATTTTGTGCAACCGGCGCGTGAAAAGTCGCCTTTTACGCACATGATGGGATTTTAGAAAGGGCTCCCTTTCCACGCACCGGTCACACAAAATATCGTAGTCAACATGTGCAGGTCATAAATCGGCCAATCGTGCGGATTGTCACGCTTGGCTTCGCCTCGGCGCCAAACTTCCGCAATCTCGGCCGATTTACGATCCCCCGCACTTGTTAGCTAATATACTATTTTATATACAGATGTTTAACAGACTCGTTGAACTTGTTTTTTTCTTTTTTAAAGCAGAATGTATTATGTATATATATATATATATATATATATATATATATATACCATATATGTAAAATATATATTTCTGTGAGAAAAAATCTACATTTATCATTAAAAATGAGAAGTATAATTTTCAACATAAAATTGCCAGTAATTATAAAGCGTATTAATTAATTACCTATACATTCGCAATTATCGCAAAGCGTTTACAAGCAAAAAGAGATATAGAACAATTTACGTACGCAATGATTTCATAATTAGATTTATTGCAATATCAGTTGTTACGATCGAAAATTGTAGGGTTTCGAGGGGAACATAAGATCGTGCCATTGATTTGACCTTGAATAGTCATGTGAAAGTCACGTGAAAGTCACTTTCAATTTCATAAATGGAACTACCTATTTTTCATTATATATTTTTGTATGTTATTTCAAAAGCTTTACAAAACCTTATACTAAAATATGTTTTCATGGAGTTCTTGTTGAGTTATAAAGGTCTAAAGTTAACAATTTTTTGACATAAAATGTAAAATATCTTGTAAAATATTCGGTTTTTGGTAATCGTACCTTAATACTGTTTTGCATGGAATAATGAGACAAATCAATTGGTGTAAAAAAAACATAATTGATTATAAAAAAAGTATGCAGCTGCATGTTGAATATTATATATATTTTTTTAAACAATTATCTATTTTCTTTATACTAGTTGATTGATCTCATTATTCCGCGCAAAAAAAGTATTAAGGTATGATTATCAAAAACTGAATATTTTATAAGATATTTTACATTTTATGTCAAAAAATTGTTAACTTCAAATCTTTATAACTCAACCAAAACTCTATAAAAATATATTTTAGTATAAGGTTTTGTAAAGCTTTTAAAATAACATACCAGAATATGTAATAAAAAATAGGTAGTTCCGTTTAAGAAATTGAAGGTGACCTTCACATGACTATTCAAGGTCAAATCAATGGCACGATCTTATGTTCCCCTCGAAACCCTACAACTTTTGTTTGAAACATTTTTTTGTATCTCAATTCGTTTCCAAGATAAAGAGCCCGCGTCGGACGTTAGATATCCTGTATATACATATATTATTCAATTTATTATTGACTGACATTAAAATCGGTCTAAATGATCTTGGAAAGTTGGTGTTACCAAAATATTTACCAAAATATTTGACTGAAACATCAAGCAATCACGATTTATTGCGAGCAATCACGATATTGATTTACGTGATTTTCTCTAAACATATGATGATATTTAAATGTTCCCTGCATTTCTAGGAAAAACCACTATGGTTTTTACATTATTCTAGATATATGAGACCTAAAACAACTCGAATTTTACTTTCCGCTCGAGGTCAAAAAATCACACTTTTTGGACATTCTCCTTTGGATAAGATTTTGTGAAAAAAATTTATTTCATCCCATAGAGTTCGTCAAATTTTGCAATTTTTTAACAAAAAAACATCTTAGTTTTTAAAAGGGTGGTTAAATTGGATTGTAGTCCTTATGTGGGAGGTTTTTCATCTACAGACTAAAATGACAGTACTTGGCCATGCTCTCAGACCACAATATGTTTATAAAAAACTTAAGTGCAACCCGATCTCTAGTATATAAAAGAAAATCTCTTCGCTTCTTAAGAATGCAGGTTTTCCTTCCCAAACAACTAAAAGCTAATTCCCCGAGACTCTTCAGCCCCCAGACTTTATGGTCTCCTGAAAATTCATAAAGATTCAGTTCCATTACGCCCTATTGTCAGCAATATCGGAGTACCCACTTATCAATTAGCTCAGTTTCTTGTCAAATCTCTTCAAACCTTTACGGAACTCAATGATTCTCACATCAAAAACTCAATAGACTTTGTGAGCACAATTACCAAACTCAAAACAAAAACTAATGACATTCTTGTCAGTTTTGATATAGTATTTTTGTTCACGAATGTTCCAGTACAAGACACTCTAGATATTATTAAAAAATCTGAAAATATTGACTTAAATTTTTTCCCATTAATAAAACATTGCCAACCTATTTCTAATTCCAAGGAGAGTTCTATGAACAAACTTCCGGAGTAGCAATAGGATCTCCTATCTCACTTATCATTGCAAACATTTTTATGAAACATTTTGAGAACAGAATAAAATCCTGAAAAACGTACCTCTCAAACTCTCTACATGGTTCCGATATGTTGATGACACCTTTGTCATCTGGGGTCATGACAGAGAAACGCTCCTTTCATTTCTCGACTTTCTAAATTCCCAGCGCCCCAATATTCAGTTCACAATGGAAATAGAACAGAATAATCAGCTCCCTTTTCTAGACATGTTGGTTAAAAAGAACGAAGACGGCACCTTAGGCCATCGGGTTTATCGAAAACCAATACATAGATCGTTACTTCATGCCACCTCTCATCATCACCCGACTCAGAAAAATTCTGTCATCAATTCATTAATATACAGAGTCTTAACAATTTCTGAACCAACTTCCCTGAATGAAGAATTAGAACATCTTAACCAAGTCTTGACCAAGAATGGATACAACAGCAAAGACATCAATCGAACAACTGAAAGGCTAAAAAACAAAATTTCCAGTTCTACAAATACGAGTACATCAAGTGAAAAAGAAGAAGATAAAAAATGGTCCTTCCGTATCTTTAGGGTACAACAGAATGCATTAGCAGGATCCTGGGTAAACACAACATCAAAGTAATTTCCAAATCTCAAAATAAGATTGCGCAATTACTTCCTAATCCCAAAGACTAGAGACCACATTGCACTTAGAAACATCAGGTGTATACAAGACTCCTTGCTCCTGCAGAAAAGTGTACATAGGAAAAACTGGGAGAAAGATCAGTATACGAATTAAGGAACATCAACGGAGTGCTAAGTACTGTTATTTTAGTCAATCAGCTTTGGCAAAACATTGGATGGAGACGAGACACTCGGTACAATACGACAAAGCAACCAGACTAGTCTCCTCGCACAGCTATTTCGCCAGGAAATATCGTGAAACCCTAGAAATTCTGAAATATTCCGACAACCTCAACAAAGGTTGTCTAACAAACTACGACAAAAGTTATCAAACAAATCCTATTTGGCATCCTTAATATACACTCACACCACTAGAGGGCGTCATAAGGGAATACTCTCTTTTCCGTAGATGAAAAACCTCTCACAATACATACCCAGTAAACAAGAAATATTTAATCAACATTTTATAATGTTGATTTTATATAAATTTTCTAAACGTTATGATATAATGTTTTTTATATATATATATAAATATATCTTTAAAATATTATTAATAAATATTCTAAAAAATATTTTAATTGATGTTTTATAAATGTTTTAAAAATATTATTTAACGTATATTGCTCAAAATATTAATAAAATATTTTAAAAACGTTAATTTCAACATTACCGAAACCTCTAAATCGATGTCAAAGTTTGTTCATAATGATGTTGCATACAATGTTAAAAACTATATACTTGCCAACAAAAATAACGTTGTAGCAATGATTTTTTGTTTACTGGGTATATTTATATATTTGATTATATATAAATATATATATATATACATTATCATGTCATGATGTACGATTAACTGTGATAGCTGACAACATTCTCATAGTAATAACGTATATAAAATTATGCATTAAATTATATGTAAAATATCTTTTAAAATATTAATTGAATTTTATGAGAAATGTTATAGTAGCATTTCAAAAATATAAGTAACAATATTTAGTAATAATATTAATTTCTTTTTACTGCTATACGACACGCAATATGCGCTTATTTATCTCTTATATAAATTTCGTCATGAGACAATATATAAAATTAGCCAAGTGGTTATTTTACATATATTAATAATATAATTGCATAGTCTGTTTTATAGTTGAACTAATTGCACTAGAACTTTGTTATGTTTAATAGCTCTTATAGCCCTTCTTTGTTTACAATTATTAATTTAACAGAACTAATTACTATTTTTATTTAATTGCACTAGAGTTTATCTTTTTCTCTTTCCAATTTTTTAAAGATTGGTTGTAACATACAGTATTGAAAAAAATGTTCACCTTTTCAATTATTGACGAAAAAACTACAGAAAATTATTAAGAATTAATAATTACATAAAGCTCAATTAAAAAGTGAAGTTCTCGTCTGATCACTGAAGTTAAGCAATGCTTGAGCACATGATTAGTATTTAGATGGGTGACTGCTTGAGAGCATTATTTTGTATAATAATATATAATCATATATATTTATATATGATCATATATACATATTTATATATGAGCATATTTTATATATATTCATATATAAAGTCTTATATACACTAGCCAAAAAAAGTAGGGAACACTTTATAAACCCTAAAAATTAGGTCATTTTCAAACTGTTGAAACTCGGCGAAAAATCATCGTAGGACAAATATTAATAAAGCATATTTTAAAGCTCGAAGTTTCAACTTTAACGCATGGTCGATGAATTTTTAAATTTTGTTAATCTTCCCTATTGTATGCTTTAAAAACGAACATACTGTTTTGTTTCTTAAAATTACGTATCTTTGACAACTTGAAACTCGATAAAAAAATTTCTTTTGAAAAATTTAACTAACATTTCAGAAAGTACAACATTTATTTTTAAAAGTTTTCTACGATTTTTTTTTGACCGATTTACACACTTTTGAAGCAAACCCTATATTTTTTAGAGATTACCATATGTTATAACTCGGTGAAAAATCATCGTAGACAAAAAATTAAAAAAGTATTTTGTGCAACCGGCACGCGAAAAGTCGCCCTTTACGCACATGATGGGATTTTAGAAAGGGCTCCGTTTCTATGCATCGGTCACACAAAATATCGTAGCCGCGGTCTTACATACAGGTCTGGAAACTCTCGTGGTGGGAGTGTTGTAGTTATTGTGATCGTTGTCACAGTAAACAACACTTTTTGATTATGACGAGCTCTATCGGTCGATAGAACAACTACGAAACGTCACGCGATATACATAAGTTATTAATAAATATAAATTAAATATAAATAAATAAAAATATGCCGAAAAATGCCGAATTCATGTATCGTTCCAAAGTGCAAAACAGCAGGCTATAAACAATGTAAAGATAAATTATCAGTGTGTTATTTAAAGTACCAAATGACGAAATAATTTGCAAAAAATGGGAATATGCTATTCCTGGAATAAATAAAATATATACAATAAGATATATATATATATAATAAGATATATATATATATATATATATATATATATAAGATAAAATATATACAAATAAATACATTTGAATAGCAAAAAATTAAAATATTAATTTATAATATTATATAAATTAAATCAATTATAATACGCAAAGTACGTAGCAGTACGCGCGTACGCTTTTTACGCCGCATGTGACGGCACCCTTATTAATAAAGATTTTTGTGCCTAATGTAATAATTATTTTTTTTGTTTGTACTACTGTTTTGTTTTGTCCAGTTTTAAGTCAAAGGCTTTCTCTTAAGGAAAGGTTGTGTTCTGTATCTGTCAAAATAAAAAGTCTGATATTTGTTCCGTAATTTAAAGTCCTGTAAGTTACTTATATCCCAAGACAACAAAAGATATAATTTTTAGCGTAAACTAGAAATTGATGTACGTTTCAGGACCCAAGTATAGCAAGCTGACGTCATTAAAACGCCAGAATGACATCATTTTGATGTTTATATAATGACATCGTTCGACATCAAAATATAACGTATATGTTTGCTACTTAGGGAGTTATTTATAAGGTCAAAGTTCGAAAAATTTTTTTAAATCATTACCATTTGAAAAATCCTAAAGAAACTCGAAATAAGACTTTTATTTAAGTTCTTTTCATAAAAAATTCAGATTTGACTTTGAGATTCTTTTTCAGTTCGAAAAAAAATCCGAACAAGCAGATATAATTTAAGTTGCATGTGTGTAAAGAATTGATAAGTAAACATTTTGTAGATAAAGATATGCTTTATTGCGGCCTCCTAAGAGTTTCAATGTGATACAATTTTTCATTACAACCAACCTCGCCTTCAATATCAGTACAATAATTATTTATAAAAAAAGAAAATAAAATAAAAATAAAAACAAACAATAGTAAAGTATTCAGAATACAAAAAAAATTAATACAAGAAATTTATAAATATAAAAACAAAATTACTGACAAAAAAAGAAGTTTCTTGTCAGTATAAACACCCTGTATATGCTCCCCTCTGAGATTCTTATCCTATTTTACAACTGTACATATACAATAAACAGAGAGATAAAACTCGATCGATCAGGGTCAACGCTGATCTCCAAACGAGGCCTCGCGGTCCGGCATTTACAAATCTTTGTTGTTATAGTCTTGCATAGATCGAACCTGCGAACCAAGTCAAACGAGCAACATATTTTATTTTATTGTATACTTTACTTGTTCAAGGACACTTGGCATATATACATACACATATATATTCAGCATGTATTCGGTCGGGATTATTCCTTGTTGGTTTTTTTTCTGCGAGAACATCACCCGATACGCGATCAAGTGATGCTGATGATACGAAACGCACAGATATCTTAAATTATCCATCAGCATCCAAGATCTTAAATTCCGGCAGAGTGCGTGTACGGAATAGAACTGTGCGTCGATTGCGCGAAGATTATTCATAATACATGTGATAAATGTACGTGTCTTCGGGGAAGACACGGCTGCTGAGGCTCACGGCTTCTCTGTTGAACGTAACATGTAACCTGCGGGCAACTAAATTCCTTCAATCGCGAAAGGTATCTTCACGCATTTTGCTCCGCATGCGTGTCCACTTTTACGCAACGTCCCCGTCGATTGTTTCGAATCTTCCGCGAACGATATGATGATTTATTTACGTCATATTTATTATTGCTAATACAGGAGCATATACGATATATGCTTTGTTGGATTAGCACGATGATCGATACGGTTTTGTTTTCAGAAAAAAATTGAAAAATGATAGACAAGGTCATTTTAGATCTTGATGATAACAAATACACGCATATTCGATGTAGTTTTGTGTAAGAGAAATTCGGAAAACAAAAATTGTCGCTCATCGACGCTATAAAAAATTATTTAGCGCTAAATGTGACATTTTATAGGTTAGGAAATTTCTTGTACAGAATTTTACGATTTTGTTTCGAGAAAAATTGATAATAAACATTCAGTTTCGATCTTCGTAAAAATTAATACATACATTCGATGTATTATTTTGTATTAAAAAAGACAAGTTTGAAAGTAAAAATTTCTGCTGGATACTCTAAAAAAATTATTAAATGCTAAAGATAACATTTTATAGGTTAGGAAATTTTATATCGACAAAATTTTATGAATGTGCTGTAATAGAAAAAAGCCAAGTTTGAATTATTTAAAAATCCACTTTATTGTATTATCAAAAGTGCTTTCAAGTACAAAACAAGATTTAAGGTAACAGGCAAAAATATACAGGGTGTCCGGTAACTAACGGACCAACGATTATAAATGGATTCTTTGGTCAATTTGGGAACGATTTTTCCTCAGCAAAAATGTCGAAAAAGGTCATCATTTTTTACAATTTTCCAATATTTGTCATTATGTATCTTTATAACTAAGCCTCAAATTAAAATTTTATTATAGTAAACTCTACCTGAAATTAACTGAAGAATGTAATTATGTTAGACTTTTAACTCCAAAACGTTTAGTTTTCAAAAAACTCATTTTTTTCAATCGCTTATAACTCGAAAATTATTGACTTCTCAACATTTTTGCTAAGGAAAAATCGTCTCCAAATTGGCCAGAGAATCCGCCCTTAATCATTGGTCCGTTAGTTACCGGACACTCTGTATAGACAAATATAGGAGCACGGTTCTCGGTACCCCGGGCAAAGAATAGATGATCTATATTCTTTGCTATTATGTTACAGCTGTTAGCAGTGGAGAATGATTTGTATTATTTTCGATATTGACACTATACTATTATTCACTGGAATGCAAATGGCTGGGATACGTATAGTATATACACGCAAGTACCTCAGCTCGTGTGACCCCGGGGTATCAAGAACTGTGCTTCTATATACTCGTCTATATTTTTTGTAACAGGTCTATCGTGATATTTTGTGTTATTTTTTTATATACTCACAACATTAATTTTTAAACAATATATATATTATTTAATTGTATTAATTTATTTTTATATTATTTAAATCTATAGCTAAAGTCTTGCGCACAACGAAAAAAAAAATATATATATATATATATATATCAGTTTTTTATTTTATTATTTTAAAATAAAATTCCTATTTTATATTTATTCCTAATATTTTCTCTATTGTGCACAGGACCCATAAAATATAAATTTTTGGTTATGTTGTGACTACATGACATATAATTTTTATATTTATATTTTATTCTTATTTTATCTCCAATTCCTACAATTTCTATTCCTATGATATTTAATATTTATTCCTATTCCTATAATATTTTCTCTATTGTGTGCCAGGACCTAAAGCAACCGAAAATCTATAGTTTACGTAACGTATATTATAGATTTGAAGTAGGATAGTGAATTTTGGAACACAGCTTACATGTAATATAAAATCTTTTTTATGTAATAATTAAAATTAGTTTAAGTGGGAGATTGGAATTTTTTCCTACGCATTTACTTTTGCAGTTCTAATAAACTGGATGAACAGACGCGGAACCATATAAATTATAGATTTTGTTCGCACTGAAACTCTCGGTATGATAGATTTTTTAACCTTCAAAAACGTCATCTTTTTATTTAATTATTTTTTTTAAGCGACAATTTTTTTGTAACTTTAAATCTTTCTTCTTATGCCAAAATATTTTGAATGAGTGTATTTTTATCCAGATTTAAGGTGAGTGGGTCAAAATAAACATTTATTAAAAATAAAATGTCAATTTAAATTTAATTAATTTAATTAATTGAAATTTAATCAATTTTTATATATCGCTTTTCGCGCGTTTAAGGTTTTTTTTTAAAGAACTTTAATTTTATTAAGTATTTAATTTTATAATATTTTATCATTTGTATATATTTTTTTATACATTATTTTATTTTTCATATATTATTTTATTTACATTTTCTTCAATATTTGATTATGTACATTGCATCACTTTTAATTAATTTATTGTATAATTTTTCCCCTCAGATCTTTTATATGGTTGAACCTATTTGGCAACGATTCTCCTTGGAAAGACGACATCCATTTCCGGAAGCCTTAGTTTCCAATTATCTTGACCTCGCTATTTCTATGGATAATCCTGCATCCCCTCATCAAACGTGTACAAAAGCCAAGATGGAATCTTATCTTGGTACGTGCTATGCTCAAAATAATATCACCACGATGTGTGATGTACCCTGTCACGCAGCTTCGAGTAATTTAATTTATTGCCAACCTGGAGGATTCACAGATGTCACACGCAGTGTTAATGCTGATATATGTGCAGTGGATACAAAACATGAAAATTGTATTGATAAAGAAAGATATAGGACCATGAGAAAATGGATACGAGTCGGGAAAGGTAAAGATACTCTTCTCTTTTAAATTGTAAAATTTGAAAGAGATCTAAAGATATATACATATTTTTGTTTGGTAATTGTTGGAAGAACATAATTTTTCAAACACTTTTAGACAGATTGACTAGCAATTTGGATGATTTTTTTATCTTGAGACTTTTATCCTTTAATATCCTTGCACAAAACTTGTTGGAGGATCACTCCTACTTGTATCAGCACCATAACAAAAAAGCTTTAAATTGGAAGACTCGAAAGCCTCTGGTGATACAGGAGATACGTGAAGCGGATGCTAATGTAGGAGCATATTTTTCTGTATTTAATTGTTAAATTTGTAATAAGAATATTGTATGATATCTGTCAAATGTTCCAGGTAATATGCCTTCAGGAGGTTCAGGAGGATCATTTGCTGGATTTTGTAGCTCCATTCAAACAACTTGGATATGAATATGTGTATAAAAAGAGAACTAACGATAAGAAGGATGGGTTGCTCTTGTTATATCGCTCCAGTCAATTTGTTTTATTAGATTACGTGAAGGTGGAGTTATATCAATCTGGCGTCGAGCTTTTAAATAGAGACAATGTGGGAATAATCGCTAAATTGTCCCTTAGAGACAGCCCAGAAACGCAAATCGTGATCGCGACTACTCATTTATTATACAATCCGAGACGTAATGACGTGCGATTAGCGCAAATGCAGCTTCTGTTAGCAGAAATAGAACGAATGGCATTTATTGAGAACGCGATGTAAGTATGCGCTTGAATAAAATATGCTTATTTGAGTATCAAATGTCGAATAGTTATTATAATATATATTTATAACTCTGCAGAACGGGCCCGAAATATTTGCCGATCATATTGACAGGCGACTTCAACTTGGAACCATTCACAGGCGTTTACAAGTTTCTAACAGAAGGATCATTCGAGTATTATGGCAAAGGACGAAACTTGGAACCTTCTCAATATAGTTCTCTATCTAACTCTCTGATACCGTCACGATTATGCATTACTGATAATTGCCAGCATTTTAATATCTTGACTCAAAGATTGCGAAAAGAAGGCACTGGTAGAGTCATGGTATGTTCTTGATTGCAAATGCAAGAATAATTAATTTTTAATTTTTTTTAAATCAAAGATTTTTAATATACAGGAAGTCCCATAATGTGATGTCCATACTGAAACTGTATTTTTGATGTCATTCTAAGTCAAAGTTAATATACATTGCCCTAAAGTCGATTATTTTAAAGTTATAGTGAAAAAACAAAATTAAAGTAAGAATAGTATTATTTATTGAAGATAATATTATTTATTGAGAACAATAATATTAACTATTTTATAAATCGTTCAAAAAAATTTATAAAGAATTGTAAATTTCAAGCCTTATAACTCAAAAAGTAGAGAAAAACACTTTATTATAGTGTTTTGGCAAGCTCTCGAGATAAACTAAAAGAATATGTAATAAAAAATAGGGGTTTCTATTTAAGAAATTGAAGGTGACCTAATTTAATTCCAAGGTTAAATCAATGATACCATCTATCCTTGAAGTCAAAACTTTGAAGTATGAAACTTTTTTTTCGTCTTCCATACTTGCCTGGGGAAATTAAAATAAAACACTCGGAAGTTGTAATTCAAGTATTTCGTAAACACCCTGTATTGGGAGTTATCTTTTTAATTATGTCTCTGTCTAGCTGGAAAACAGTGAATTAGCTGTTGAGAAACAAAACGAGAATCTGTCGACGCCTTGTAACGTAAATGTGTTACAACAAAACAACGTCAACCTCACTACCGGTCGTGCTCAGACCATCGAGATCGTACAAGGCTATTCCGTGAGATTTTCATCTGGCACTTTGACGCATCCCTTCAACATGCACAGCGTTTACAGGCATACGAGTGCTCATGGTGAAAAGGAAGCGACAACGCATCAAGATGAATGGATCACGGTCGACTACATATTTTACAGCAATATCCAACCTATAGAGAAGTACGCCCTACCTACAGTGAGCCAATGCACCGCTTTACCAAATATACCAAATTTCGTAGTAGGTAGCGATCATTTGTGCATAGGCGCTACTTTTCAGTTACCAAGAAAGAAATCTGTGCTTTAAAAGATACTTTTTATATATCATTTTTTTCTTATTCTAAAACAAAAAATTCAAATCTTTAAAATTATTATTTATGAATATCAATAATTTATATAAATACAAATTCTCAAGATAGCTAATGAGCCATGCAATTCTTGAATTTGTATATTATTATATTATTATTTATATAGTCCTTTTCTTATACTATAATTGTTAAGAACTATGTTGATACTATACTAGAGAAAGATTAGAAATACTAGGTGCATTGTCAGTCTTTCAACATAATAATGCAAGGTTATGCACACTTTGATATGTGAATATATATTACAAATTCTTAGTAATTTTATTTTTAATATAGCCAAAGTGTGCTCAACTCACCGTTCGATATGGTTGATTTTTTTAAATTCTCGCCACATGATTCATTTTAGTTCGCGTTTTCTTATATAGTTCTGGTTTTTCAGCTAAATGCTGAAATTTTTACCTTTCCAAAAGTTAATATATTTTAGATATAAAAAACCCGATAGAAAATATTAAAAAAGTATAAAAATATAATTTTTTTTCTTTAATCATTTTTGTTGATGATCACAATAAGCATATTAAATCTTAACAACTTTTTATAATTTAAAGGACAAGAATTTTACGTCCTATCAAATTTTATTTTAAAGATTTATGAATTATTATTAAGTTATTTTTTTGCGCAAAAAATACTGGCATGATTTTTATCAATTGCATATCTAACATATTGTAAACTGGAAAGAATATATATCATAATGTCATATGTTATATTATATGTTATAGAATATATACCATATTCAATATTCTATAATATATATAGAACTGTGATAGCAACTGTTATATTAGAACTACTAAACATAAAAATAGGTAAAACATAAGAGACACAGCTGTAATTCTATATAACTTTATGATAAAAAGTGTTGTATAATATTGTACAAATTTTGTATACAATATAATAAACAGAAAATATTCTCTTTAATAAATATTTCTTTATTTTACAAAGATAATAAAATAAGTAGTAAATATTCTCTTTAATAAACAGTATTTCCTTTTGTTTGTTTTAAAGCAAAGATATTTCATAAAACAAGGAAAAACTGTCTATATTTTTAATCTTATTAATTTATATATTCTTATTCCTTCATAAAATTTTAATGGGATTTATTTGGAAGGTACCTTTGTGCAATTGCGGTTTTTTATATGCAACTACACAGGTTTTACCAACAAGATTATTTTCGTCACGCATGGAACAGTTTGCGTGACAAAATTTCGCAAATTTCTTGAATCGCACTTGCAACTCGGCATCGCCGCCATTAGGGCCAATCAGGAATTCGCATTTTAGCAAATTCGTCCTTCCCTTCATACAACATTCCAAGTATCTATAATCTGTCGTATATATCTCACTGATATCTCGGATTTTTATGTTTAGATCCTTTCTCAAAATACCCGTTACAAATACATCGTCTATCCAGAAATATTTACTGGAAGTCTCGGCATAATTTGTCAACCAATTTGCTATCTGTGGACTTGTAACGTACAGCCAACCGGAAATAAAATCAGGATAAATATTGCCCGCATATTCCATTTTACTCGCGTACCATTTATTGGCTAGTTCTCGAACCGGGATCATATTCCTCATGCTGTAGCCAATTAAAGAATCTTTCTCTATCACACTTGAATGTAATTTTTCTAATATGCCATATATATCTACAACTATATCGTCGTCCATCTTCATGATATATTTAACGCCTTCGCAATTATTTATTGCCCATCGAAGGCCCATCAAATGTTTGTGAGTCAAATTTCTATAAGTATCTAGGAAGTTCCCTTGAAGTATGTCACCGAATCGCCGGGATTCGTCTAGCAATGCTTTCTGCGACACGTGTGTCCTGTCCTTGGCATCATCATTTAACGTACCGAGTAGAAATACCCTTCCAATCCCTAAAGTCTGTAATTCCTCATTCGTGTAAGCTCGTCGTAGGGCACTTCTGGCTGAAGGGTCACCAGCGTAAGACGTGACGATCCATATCAGGTAAGTAGCGTTGCAGGATGGTTTGATTATGATTCTGGTGTTTCCTGATGATTTGTCCATCACTTTTTTTGCTGTCTGAGAGTGTATGAGATTCGTTTTCTTCGAAATCTGCACTTGTAAATCTCTCTCCATAAATATAAAAATAACAAAATGCATCCTGTACAACCAAGCAGCAATAAGAACCCAAACTTGCAGCTCATGCTTGCCTGTCTTCATGTTTGCGGTTCATAAAATTGTGTCTTCATGTCTTTTACTATAATTAATTTAGAATCAGCAACAGTAGACATTCTCTAGGGATCCTCTGTTTGTATATTTTGCACAGCAGCTCCAGTTATTTTTAAATAGATAAGTAATTAAACTACAAATAAATATATTATTAAAATTAATTATATTCATTAAACTATGTTATAAATGTAAATATATATACATATATATAATTTATCAGGATTGTGAGTTAAGTATTTTTTAAAACTAAGTTAAGTTAATAGCTTATAAAATTAAGTTTAGTTACATTAAAATATTTATTAAATGAAAATGTCATAATTAAAAAATTTTTTAATTTAATATTTCTTACTTTTTTAAAAATTTATATAAAATAACAAAATAATAAAAATTGTTTTTTATATAGGAATGTATTTATTCTTTGTAATTATAACTATGAAAAAAATTTTAACTTAAAAAAAGGTCAAAAATTAACTCATTTTTAATTAAGCTAAGTTAAATATTTTTAAATTTTTCATTTAACTTCGGTTAGGTTAGATTAAGTTAGATGTAACTATAATCTTCTTCGCGTATTAAAATAAGATAAAATTCGGTTAAAAGCTAAAACTTACCTTACAATTACTTTATAAAAAACTAAAATAATTTTTCTAATATCTTATTTATAATATTTTATATAAAAACAATTCATGTATTGCGCTCAGAGTTGGGTAGCGGGGAGCACACACTTTGGCCTAGTTTACATCAAGCACTTGATACGCGTATTAAATAGGAAATTACTAGTAAATTAATTCAGTTATTGGCTGACCAGGGGGTCGATTGTGTAACTTTTTCTAAAGTGAAAACGTGAAAAGTGAAAAATTTCCACCAATCACGCATTGATTTTAAAATGAAATCGATGTGTGATTGGAAGAAATTTTTCACTTTTCAGGGTGCGATTACATGGACGCGCGGAAACGCGGAAACGCGGAAACGCGGAAGAGAAAGTAACTAAACTTTACTAGAGTCCCGCATTTCCGCGCGTTCCGTTCCGTCTGTTTTGATTGCCTTATATTACATGGAGCACATTTTGAGCGGAAAAGCGGAACGGTATAGTGACAAATAGACATTTGTATTAATTTTTAAATTTATATTTACTTAATTCATTGTAATTCCTTTTAATATGTTCATCTTTTCAACTTATCTATTGAATACAAGCATTTTAATCAATAAATATAGTTAAATATTAATATTTTATAATTCCCCGTTCCGCTTTTCCGCTCAAAATGTGCTCCATGTAATATAAGGCAATCAAAACAGACGGAACGGAACGCGCGGAAATGCGGGACTCTAGTAAAGTTTAGTTACTTTCTCTTCCGCGTTTCCGCGTTTCCGCGTTTCCGCGCGTCCATGTAATCGCACCCTCACATTTTCACTTTAGAAAAAATTACACAATCGACTCCCAGGGTACTTATTACGGTTCTTTGGGTGAGTTTGCTCACGAGATAAAAATCACAAAAGTGAGAGATTTACTAGGTTGTCTACGCTTTTATTGGTCAAAATCTAGTGAATCTCTCATTTTTGTGATTTTTATCTTGTGAGCAAACTCACCCAAATAACCGTAATAGGTACCCAGGGTACTTATTACGGTTCTTTAGGTGAGTTTGCTCACGAGGTGAAAATTACAAAAGTGAAAAGATTTACTAGATATCGACAAATGAAACCGTGGGTACTCTAGTAAATTTCCTCACTTTTGTAATTTTCACCTCGTGAGCAACTCACTCAAGATACATAATCTACCCTCTGTTCAAATACACTAATTGATACGCGTATCAAGTGCTTGATGTAAACTAGGCCTTTTGCATAAGCGCATAAGCATATGTATAAGAAATTCGATTGGTTGAATTTCTTATGCATACGTTTATAGACCAATCAAGATTTTCATGTTTACGCTTATGCGCCTATGCAAGAGTGTGTGTGCTCCCCCCCTTTAGGATTGAGATTAGATTGAAATTTCACCAATCAGAGCAAAGTTTATAAACTTGAGATTAGTTTTCTTGCTTCTGATTGGTTATATTTCAATTTAATCTCAATCCTAATCCATAGTCTGATACGGGCTTAATAGTCGTCTATATTCTTTGGTTCAGCAATAAAGAACAAACCTATTGTAGACCTCGCTTCATATGTACACTTTTTGCACTTTAGTGTAGAAAGTTCAATCACAAAGTGCAGTTGGTATAAAGAAAAATAGTGTGTTTGGAAGAAGAGTAAACGTTTAACACGTTGCGTATAGAATTGAAAAAATGGAAATCGATATGGTTGACAATTATGAACAATTGAGACATTTATCAAATCCTGTCGTGCAACAATTAGACGATGATATGCAGCTGACATTGATAAACCTTCCTGACGTTTGTTTGGAGGCGATCCTGTCTAACCTCTCTTACGATGAGATTTCTAAATATAGGATTGTAAGATTGCCTTTTATAAGACAGAAAAGATTCTCTCTGCTTATATTTAATCGCAAAACATATTTGTATATAACATTTATATATATATATATATATAGATATTTATTTATTGATATTTTGGTTAACATTTTTTTGGAATAGGTTTGTAGACAATTCAATCGGATTTGCAAGAAGTTACTTAATCGTGGTTTTAATTTGATGGAAAAATACCATGCACAGTGCCTTCGCGCAGTCAAGAGTAAATTACCGAGGAGAGAATCCGAGAGAAGAAGTCACCCTCTCGCACGTCATTGTGACATATTGACGGCGATTGAAACACGAATTTCCATGCTATCAATGACATTCATTAAATATGTGGATCTGAACGTTTGTTGTTTTATTCCAGGAAAGGTAATTGATTCTTTATAAAAAGCATCGCAATAATTATTTATTTTTAATTTGATAATTGATTAATATATACATATCCCAAGTAGCAAACTAGCGTCATTATGACATTTAATAACATTTTTTGACTTTAATTTTGAATAATATTTAATAACGTTTAATGACATTTAATGATGTCATTATGACGTTTAATGACATTTAATGACATTATTATGACGTTAAATGACATGTAATGACATCATTATGACGTTTAATGACACTTAATAATGTCATTATGACGTTAAATGATATTTAATGATGTCATTATGACGTTAAATGATATTTAATGATGTCATTATGACGTTAAATGATATTTAATGATGTCATTATGATGTTTAATGACAATGTCATGACATTAAATGACATTAATGATGTCATTATAACGTTTAATAACACTTAATGATCCCAGACAGCACCAAATCCAAAATCGGCGCATAAAATATCTTTAAAATATGTTTAAGATGTCTTTCGGATATCATATCATAAGATTTCTTAAAGCTGTCTTAAAGATTTCTTAATGATATCTTATGCGCCAATTTTGGGCTAGGTACTGTCTGGGATGTCATTATGATGTTTAATGACATTTAATGACATCATGATGTTTAATGATGTCAGTTTACTACTTGAATATTATATAAAGTAATAGAATATATAAATATATCTATATGTCTTTATTTGGAATGTTATCATGCATAATTTAAAAAAAATTATTTTAATTTAGTAAATTTTGTATTCATCTTGTGTATACTTTATAACATTGTTAAATATATATATTGCAATTATGCATTTAGGTGATTGATGAAATTTTTCGTGTCCTTCGATTAATTCGAGAAACAAAGACACCACCTAGAGCACACGAAATACTTCAAGAGCTCCGTGATATAAGCAGTATGGCTATGGAACATTTTGATGAGAAGATTTTGCCAGATTTAAAGCACAATATTTGCACATCCATGATCGGAACTGTAAACTCGTACGATTTACCTAGCGGAATCATGATCTCCTCCAATAGAAATAACTCTGCACTGCCACATTGCAACAATCACAGCTCAAGCTGCTCGGAGAAGCTAAACCAAACATTTAAGAAAGTTAACAATCGTATGAAGAGGAATAAGATATTTTTCCTGTCTGTGAGAAATCAAATGAGCAGAATAAAGCTCAGAATGCAGAGGCAGGATTATCAGATACGAATGCAAAATTTAAAATTGCAGAAACAAATGAGAAAGATACATGACCAAGACATGCAGTTGGCCGAGATGCGGAAGCATCTTGAGGAATGGGAGCAGAAAATGGTCGATTTGACTACCGAATTGAGCCGGGCGCGAGAAGAGACTCAGAATCCGGATTCGTTGGAAAGTCGCAAGCGAAAAGCGCACATCGACATTATCAATACTGACGCCGAGACGCTTCAACAGACGAATGAGTTGCATGCTAAGAAGCGGAAACTTATAGTGGAAAGAAAATTGTCAAGTGACGCGCAGGACATGAAGTTTAAGAAATTTATGTCGGAATTACTTGCGAAAACTGCGTTAGATAAATACCTCGTTGGTCCGTCGTGCTCGCGTTAATTTGGCTTTTCTACTTAATATTTTTATTGCACGAAAATTTTGTGCAGAATTAAGGCTCCTGGTTCCTCGCCTCTGACGTCACAATCTAACGTGGCCATGGCGAGAACTCGGAAGCCTTAATATATTCTTTATATGAAATTTTTTAACTGTTATATAATATAAAATAGATATAGCAAATATAATATATATATAATTTATATATTAATTATATATATATATATATGTATATACGTGTGTGTGTACACACACACACACACACATACAGGGTGTTTTATTTTAAATGACGTACTTCGATAATTCTTCAACGAAGCATTTTCAGCAAAAATGTTTCAGACAAAAGTTGTATGGTTTTGAGAGGGATATAAGATGGTGCCATTGATTTGACCTTGAAAAGTTATTTGAAGGTCACGTAAAAGTCACCTTCAATTTCTTAAATGAAACTATCTACTTTTTATTCTTGTAGCTTATCTCGAGAGCTTTCCAAAACCCTATAATAAAGTATTTTTCCATGGAGTATTCTGAATTATCTTTTTTCATGGAGTACTCTTTGAATTATAAAGGTTTGAAGCTAACAATTTTTTGACATGTAAAATATTTATAAAATATCCAATTTTCGATATTTTCGATCATGCCTTAATACTTTTTTGCACATTATAATAAGATCAATCAATTGATGTAAAAAAGATACATAATTGCTTATAAAAAAAGTATGCAACTGCATGTTGAATATTCTTTTTGAAATAATTATCTGTTTTTTTTATACCAATTGATTGATCTTATTGTAATGTGCAAAAAATATTAAGGCATGATTATCGAAAATTGGATATTTTATAAGATATTACATTTTATGTCAAAAAATTGTTAGCTTCAAACCTTTATAATTCAAAGAGTACTCCATGAAAAAATACTTTATTATAAGGTTTTGGAAAGCTCTCGAGATAAGCTATAAAAATATACAATAAAAAATAGATAGTTCCATTTAAGAAATTGAAGGTGACTTTCAAATGACTTTTAAAGGTCAAATCAATGGCACCATTTTATGTCTCCCTCGAAACCATACAACTTTTGTCTGAAACATTTTTGCTGAAAATTCTTTGTTAAAGAATTATCGAGGTGCATCATTTAAAATGAAACACCCTGTGTATATATATATATATATATATATATATATATATATACACAATTTTTATCTGATTATTTGCTATTATTAAACAACTATTATAAGAAAGTTTAGGTGAAAAATTACTTTTTTGATCAATTAAACATTAAACTATTTTAAATCAAAAAGGCATGAACGGCTCATAAAAACTAAATATAAAAGGATAAAAACAAGGGCTAAGAGCCAAGTGGTCGTGCGAATAATCTTGAATTTATTAAAACTTGAATTGGACGTTTTGGTCTAATTTAGACCTAATTAAACTATTTTGTTGTTTTATTATAAGATTAACATAAACTGTACAAAAATATATTCAGCCAAATTTATAGTGTTTTATTGTAAGATTTCTATATGCGATATAATATAAATGTTATAAAAAAATTTATGCTATTAATATTAGAAAAAAAATTATTATTTTATTATGTGCATTTATCAAAGAATTAGAGAACAAGGACAATAAATTAAATATTGCAATGATATATTCAAGTACATTTCTTTAAAATAATTTTTACTTATTATTTTAGAGAGATCATTTTTTATCATTGCAAGATATTAATTTTATTTCTAGTGTTATATACGCCCTTTAATACATATATGTATATATTGATTTCATTATAGTATTCATTTTGTTCGTATGTAATATTATGTATATAATCATAACACACATATAAAAAAAGACTGTAATTTATAATTAAACATTACTCATACACGATTTAACTTTGTATTTTATTACCATCTTTTATTCATGATACACAACTTTATAGACACATCTGAAATGAAAAGAAAACATTATTTTTATAAATATACATGAAATAATTTATATGTAATTTATCTGCATAAATAAATATATATACTGATTTTATCATTGGAGATATAATTAAAAAAAATTTAAATAGATAAAGAAGATTAAAAATTATTTATATGTAATCAAAATATTTTAAATCAATCAATTTAAAATGTTGACCTATATTTGAGAGATAACAAAATTTTCTCATAAATTATAAAATATACACATAAATATAGGTTCGATTAATGTATGTGTTTACTGTGATAAAATTCAATGAACTATGCATATAACTTTCTCATTGTTTATATTACATTATTAAAATCAATTATTAATTAATTTTAAGGCTCCTGGCTTTTCGCTGACCGTGTTGAAATTGTGACGTCAGAGACGAGAAAACACGCTGAAAATTCTAATTTTCGAAGTATTTTAAAAGTATACATGCTAAAGCCATCTGAAATAGAGTTTTATCGAAATTTTTTTTTCATTAAAAAATTAATTAAGAGTCGGAGCTCCGTTTACTTAGCCGGTCAACTTCGACTTAAATAGTATATTGTGTATCAAGTGCGGAAAGTTGACAATTGGTCACGAGTGCGGGGGATGGACGCACGAGCCGAAGGCGAGTGCGACCACCTCACACGAGTGAACAATTGTCAATTCGCACTTGATACACTTACTATTTTGTATTGCAAGTGCAGATAAAGTGGCTGTTTCGGCGCGTTTTCTGTGCGCGAGGCGGCCGATCGCACGCCGCTATCTTGCCGCGGCACGGTGGGGGAATAGCCGTGTTCAATACATTTTCTACGGCTTGAGCCGTATACAATGACTTTTAACGCGGCTCAGCCGTAGATAATGGCTTTGAATGCGGTGATCGAGTTTGTTATATAGAAAAAAAACACGCTCAAATATAATTTTAAAATTTTGGCATAAAAATTATATTATTTTTTCTATTTCATAATATTTTATTTTAATATTATTATTTTTTTCATAATAGTTTATTTTTCTTCTTCACATTTTTATTTCTATTAAAGTTTTATTATATTTACGATCTTAATTTAATATATATTAATCTATAAATATATATTAAAATGTTTATTTTATTATAGATTAATATTTTTTTTATTTAATCAAATAATTTAAAGTTCAATAATTATTTTTTAATTATTATAGTTAATTAAAAATCATAAAAAAACATATTAGCATTTTATATTATAAAAATATATTATATTATATTTTAAAAATAATATAAATATAATGTTTAAAAAAGTTTATATTTGTATTTAAGTATTCAAAATACACACACACACACACACACATATATTGTATGTATGTATGTTTATGTATATATAGTAACCCCTAAATGGGCATAATATTATCGTATATTTTTGTTTGTGAAGATTTCTCATATAAATAAGAATTTTCCTTTAAGCTTCAATATTTACTCTCAACATATTCAAAATCCCTGGTAAAATATTTAGCAAATAAACTCTCGGAAGAGAAATATATGTGAATGAAGGATGAATATAATATGAAGGAAAATTAATTGTCTCTTGTCTTTCATCAAAAAACTCTCTTTGGGGATCTTGCTAAATATTTTACCAAAGGCATATTTTTTGTGTCTCGAATGTTTTAGAATAAGTTTTATTGGCATCATCAACATAAACTTCTAAAAAGATCTAATTTAATATATCTTTTTGATTTCTATTACGAGATATCTCAAAAAAGTAATCTTTTTGATTTCTATTACAAGATATCTCAAAAAAGTAATCTTTTTGATTTGTATTACAAGATATCTCAAAAAAGTAATCTTTTTGATTTCTTTTATAAGATATCTCAAAAAAGTAATCTTTTCGGTGACTGTCAGAAGAAATCTTTTTTTTCTCTAAATACGACGCATAAGAGCTCTTTCTGATCTCATTATGTTGGCTTTCGAAACCAATTTTTGGATGTCCAAATCTTGAAGAAGAAAACTTTAAGAATTCTTTCTGATATCAATTGGCTATCTGGGTTGGCATCCAATTAGGTTTGTTAAAGCTTTGAATAAAGCTGCTTCAAACTGAGGACCTTGATCTGTTGTAATGCTGATAGGAGAACCAAAACGCGCTACCCAATGTGAATAAAATGTTGTAGAAATAGTTTCAGCAGAAATCTCAGAAATAGGAACAGCTTCAGGCCATCTGGAAAAACGATCAATCATAGTAAGACAATAACGGTAATTTTGACAAATAGGAAGTGGTCCAACAATGTCTAAATGCACATGCTGAAAGCGTTGATCAGGAATTGCAATCTTAATTGGAGAATTCTTGGTGTGTCTTGAAATCTTCGCACGTTGACATGGAAGACAAGTTCGAGTCCATTCCTTCACATCTTTCTTCAAAGAAGGCCAAATGAATTTCAGTAGTAATTGTTTAGATGTCAATCTGCCGCTGGGGTGAGCGAGTCCATGAACAACATCAAAAATTCTCTTGCGTAAGAGTTTAGGAACATATGGACGAATTAATTCCGAAGAACAATCACAATAAATAGGTATGGTTGATCCTGAAAGAATAAGTTTCTTCAACAGAAGTGAAGAATTTGAAGAAAGTAAAACTTGAAGTTCTTCATCTTCTTTCTGATAATTAGCAAGTTCTTCTAAAGAAACTATAATAGGCATTGAAATAGATTCAATTCTTGACAGAGCATCAGCAACTGAATTCATTTTTCCAGAAATATAGGTAATATTTGTAGAGAATTGAGCAATAAAGTCCAATTGTCTGATCTGTCTTGGTGACGCTTTATCCAATTTCTGACGGAAAGCAAAAATCAAAGGTTTATGATCAGTTCTGATAATCAGTTGTCTTCCTTCAACAAAATGCCTGAAATGTTTAATAGCCAAATAAATGCTAAGAAGTTCTCTATCATAAGTGCTATAATTTCTTTGAGCTTCGTCTAGTTTCTTTGAGAAAAATGCTATTGGTTTGATATCGTCGTCAATAGACTGTTCAAGTGATGCACCAACAGCAAAGTCAGAAGCATCACAAGTTAAAATAAGAGGAGCATGAGGAGCAGGATGAGAAAGGGTAGTAACTTGTAAAAGTTCTTCTTTACATGACTCGAAAGCTAATTCCGCTTCTTTAGTCCAAGAAATAATTCTTCTATCCCTCTTGCGACTGTCCTTTAAATATTCTGTTAACAGAGCTTGATGATTTGCAGCATCCTTGAGACAGCGACGATAATAATTGATAATTCCTAAGAATCTGCGTAATTCATGAAGTGTCTTAGGTTTAGGATAATCAATAATTGATTTCACTTTTTCGGATGTAGGTTTAACTCCTTGGTTAGAAACTAAGTAACCAAGAAAAGAAATCTCGCTTTGACCGAAAAGACATTTAGCGACATTGATTGTCATTCCAGCTTGTTGAAGACGATCAAAAATAATGCGTAAGTGAGCAATATGTTCTTTCTCATCTTTAGAAGCAATAAGAATGTCATCAAGATAACAAAAGGCAAAACTCAAATCATTAAGTAAAGAGTTCATGAGCCGTTGAAAAGTTTGGGCTGCGTTTCGTAAACCGAAAGGCATTACGACAAATTCAAAAAGCCCAAATGGAGTAGTGACAGCTGTTTTGTGAATATCTTCTTTAGCGACGGGTACTTGATAGTACGCTTTAACTAAGTCGATTTTAGAAAAGATATTCTTACCAAAAAGTGAAGAAGAAAAATCTTGAATATGAGGTAAGGGATAACGATCCGGGATAGTCACTGAATTGAGTGCACGATAATCACCACACAGTCTCCAAGAATTTTGTTCCTTTTTAGGTACCATATGTAGAGGGGCTGCCCAGGAGCTGCTTGAAGGCCTGCAAATTCCTTGCTCCATCATAGACTTGAATTCTTCCTTGGCACATTTAAGTTTCTCAGGAGTAAGTCTTCTGGGAGTCGAAAATTTAGGAGAACCTTCCGTAAAGATATGATGTTCAACACCATGTGTTTTTACCGAGGAAATTGGGGAAAAACGGGTGAGTCCTGGAAATTCGGTTAAAAATTTGTGGTACACAGAATCAGGAGATGTGGTAAAAATTGACAAATGCGCAATTTCTTGAATTTTTCCAGTATTCATAAGACCGGTAACGTTATCAATCAATTTCTTGTTTTTAATGTCAATTAGGAGATTAAAATGACAAAGGAAATCGGCGCCTAAAATAGGACGTTGAATATCCGCGACACAAAATTTCCATTTGAATTCTCTCCTTAAACCGAGGTTCAAAATTAAAGTTTTAGAACCGTAAGTATTAATTTGAGTACCATTTGCGGCAAAAAGTTTTAAATTAGTATGCCACGGCTTCAATAAAACCTTTTTAGGTAACAACGATATATCAGCGCCCGTATCGACAAGAAAATTCAAATTTGAATGTCTGTCGAAAATAATGAGGCGATTGTTAGAAACACCGTCGTAAGCAGCCTCAGTCTTAAGCGGCGTTTTTAGTTTTCCTGTGAAGCCAAGAATGTTTTGGACATAGAACAAGGTAAAGTACATCGTTTAGCCTTATCACCAAACTTCTTATGGTAAAAACAAATTGATGTATCTTTAATATCTTTATTTGATTTGTCTTTGTTACGCGATAACGATCTAAATCTTCTATTCTCTCTAGACCGGCTTTTGGAACGATCTCGACGACGAGAAACTTCAAGAGCTTCGATTCTTCGTAGCAAATCCGCGAAATCCGAAGATTTATTACTTGCATTATTGGAAACTTCCGCGACTTGCAAACCGCCGTCCCGATCAGCAATTTTATCGGCTAATTCCGCAAGTTTAACAAGAGAAACATCCTCTACTACGGCTAAAGTCGTTTGAATTCTATGTGGTAAGCGTTGAAGCCAAATCATTTGCAAAACACTATCTGCTAAAGATCCTCCAGACAAATGACGAATTTCTCGAAGTAATTCCGAAGGCTTTTTATCATTAAGTTCAATTCCAGCTAATATTTGTCTCAAACGTTTTTCCTCTGAATCCGTAAAGCGATTTATTAATATTTTCTTTAAATAATTATATTTATCTGTTTCAGGTGGATTTTCAATGACTTCAGATATGTTTACTAAGGCTTGTTCATCAAGATGACGAATGACAGAACTATATTTAATATCATCTGATCGAATTCGATAAACCGTAAACTCACTTTCAATAGAAGCAAACCAGAGTTTAGGTTGTTTATGCCAGAAAGTCGGTAGTTTTAATAAACGAAACTCATTTGAGTGAATTTGTAACATAGGATCACTCACCTGATGTCCAGTTTGAGAAGGTAAAATATTAATATTATCTGATCCAACCTGATTTGATCCGCTCGCCAAATCCATATCAATCTGTGTATCCGAACAGGGTCTAACTGGTGATCTATCGATTGGCATTTTCCTCTTGTTCCAGGAATCCGATAAAATGATTTGAGAATTTCCGTGAAGGACTAATCCGCCTCTGATGTTTCAAAGATCCGGAGAATGAATCTCTTAAAATCAGAATATCCAGCAATTCTTCTAAGCGATGATAATATTTCGCAGACTTCAAATACGACGATCACTTGGCACTTATTCCGCATCAGCCTTTAAAATGCGTCGGCTTTAATATCACGTCGGCTTTAATATCACGTCGGCTTTAATATCACGTCGAGGTCACCAAAAATGTAGCGACTTATGAATAAATTCACCAGATCTTTGAAAAAGTAATGTTTATTCATTGAAAGTATAAAGCGAAAGAACAAAAAGAATTAATATGTAACAAATAAATGAATGAATGTGTTGTTATGGAAATATCGATTTTTCTTAAAAACATTATGTATATTAATGAATTGAAGTTATTACAAATGTATAAAGATGTAAAAAGTGTAAAAGTGCAGTGAAAAGTGTAAGGTGTAATAAAAGTGTAGAGTGTAAATGAAAGGTGTGGATGATGAATGCTACAGAGGGGTCAACGGTAGCGACACCCGATGTGAGATAACCGGAAGAGCGGTTGATAAGAAAGCTCAGGATAATCGGTAAAGATCCTGAGCGCTATGGATAATGTCACGCGAGCATTTGAATCCTCAACAGTTTCAACTAATTAATGTTTATTAATTTAAAAATTATAATTTATTCATATTATTAATGTTCTTGTAGAATATGTAAAAATAACAAATATGCAATTTGCATATAATACGAAATCTAGTGATATTCAACTTATTTTCTAAATTCACGAAGCTATCATTTTCCTTATTACTTTTGAAAGAAAGATCGATTTGACATGGTGACTAAATTTCAGAATTGTACTTTCCATTTTTTTCTACAAGTTTCGTTAAATTAGTATCAAGCGTTTTATAAACTTTTTTCGGAATATAACTATCTTCAGTATTAATATTATTGCTAATCGTACATAGCGATTTTGTGTTTGTATTATTCATTATTTCTATATTATATTATTTAAATTTTCAATCATTTCCTTCAAAATCTTGTTGTCAGTATTACTGTTATCGATTTCCTTTGTTGTTATATTTAACATAGATAATACATCTGTAATATTAGTAAATCTTGATTTCAATTTTGGTATTATATCTTCTAATAGAAATATATGTACATAATCTAAATTAACTGAATTTCTATATATACATAATTTTAATTTACCAAATTTCTATTTCCCTTTCTAACTGAAAAACTGTAGTCGAAACCACTCAATCATTACTATCACTACACTAACCCCTCGATACATACAACTGTCAAAATATGCAATGACAGCCGCTCACGAAGAAAACGCTATGACGGAATCAATTTGCATCACGGATTAAAGGCAACAATTCTTCGATACATTTGAGAATAAATAACATGCCTTTTTTAGAAAGGGAATCTTGTCTTTCTCTTATATCTCTTCTATTATATTTTTATCTTTTATCTTCTTTATGTTATGCTAAATGATTAACCGCAAACCGTTAAACTGTCAACTGTCAAACAATCTTGGTTGTGATTCAAGCCGCGAAATAAACTTCGAGACAACCAATCAGCGTCGCGAAAAAGAGGCTTTAAAACTTCGATACAAATTGAATTCACAGTTAACATGCTTTTCTAGAAAGGAACTAGCACGCAGCGCGCGCTAACGCGCGCGCTTTCCTCGATAATAATCTATTCATATAAAAGTATTTATGTTGATATCATAGAATTTACAAAAATTAAAACAACTTTTGTCAAGATATTCAAAATTTTATAAAAAATGGACCTTTTCATCGATTATCGCCAAATTCAAAACCAATCTTATAATAATAGTCTATTTATATAAAAAAATGTATTCCAATATATTAAAATTTATGGAAGAGTAACAACAAACATTTTTGAAAAATTAAAATTGCGTTAAAATTTAAAACAAAAACGCGCGCTATTTCTCATATTTATATTAACTTTTAATACTGTAAAACTTGCCAAAAATACATTTTTCCTTATATTAGTATTACTTTTTATGATATTAATTTTATTTTTTATAATATTTGTTTTGTTTTTCCTAAGATTAGTATTATTTTTTTTTAAATATTAGTATTTAATATTAATTAATTAAAAAAAAGAGAAGTCACTGCAGTAATTCTCTGGGAATACGTAATTTAATTTTCATTATTATTTTAATTTTTTAAAATTATTATTTTAATTTAAATTATTGCTTTAAATGAGTACAACTAATTAAAAAAAATAAAAAAACGGGTTTTAAAATATAGTTATACGTTTATTAAATGGTCCTCAGATTGATAATATAAAATATTTAAATATGTTCTGTCAAAAACTAACATAATGATTCATATACTGACAATGAGTTCTATAATTTGAAAAAATTAATCATCGCTTTATATGACTAAAATTAATTAAAAAAATGAAAGAGCGGGCTTCAAAATATGGGAATACGTCTTCGAAATTGTCCTCACTTTGATAATAAAAAATTTTGAGAAATGACGTATTAATATACCTAACATATTCATTCGTACACATTGAGTCATAAAAGTTGGAAAAAATTCATTATCTCTTTAAATGACTGAAACTAATTAATAAATGAAAGAACTAGCCTCAAAATATGGGAATACGTTCTTTAAATAGGTTCGATAATAAAAAATATTAAAATATGACGTATCAATACCCAATATAATGATTCTTATAAAAGGTCCTAATATTTAGAAAAATTAATTATCACTTTTAATGACTGAAACTAATTAAAAAGGGAAAGATTGGGTTTCAAAATATTGGAATACTTCATCGAAGTGGTCCTCAAATAGAAACAATATTGAAATATGACGTGTCAATATACCTGACATAATGATTCGTACACATGGAGTCATAAAAGTTGGAAAAAATTAATTATCGTTTTAAATGACTGAAACTAATTAATAAATGAAAGTGGGCCTCAAAATATGGGAATACGTTTTTTAAATAGGCCTTAGTTCGATAATGAAAAATATTAAAATATGACGTGCCAACATAATGATTCTTATAAAAGGTCCTAATATTTAGAAAAATTAATTATCACTTTTAATGACTAAAACTAATTCAAAAATGAATTTGAAATGGTCCTCAGTTTGATAATAAAATATATTGCAAAATAACGTGTTAATATCTAACATAATGATTCGTACATTATGGGTCCTAAAATTTGGAAAAATTACAGCTATTACAATATATAAAGCTTTACCTCCCTTTCTCATTTCCTCTTTCTTAATCTCTTTTTTTTCCAATTCTTCGATGTCTATAATTTGTAGGTGTTCCGGAACCGTTTAATATGCTTGAGAGTCTCCGCGAAACGTTGAATGTCGCGCGATCGGACATATTGAGACGCGTCAATCGTTGAGTTCGCAAATCACAAATTTTCCTCGCGAACGAGGCATCGCGCGTAGCCGATCCTTGTCACGCCTCAGTGTAATTCGCATTCGCGGTTCTTTTTCGCCAACTCGAGTGCGCTGTGTATGATCTGTCGCGCACCCCCGTTTCTGCCTATCTGAGTCGCTAATATCCTTCTTCTTCTTCCGTTCCGGCTCTTGGTGTATTAACACGTCATCTAGTTACCGAAAACTCGTATTCCGTGTTGTTAAAATAATCCGTCGAGCTACGAAAGTGATTCCTTTCCGCCGGCAAGATTTGTATAATATCGTGCCCGCGATATTTTCAGTCAGTTCCGTTCATTTTTGTGAACTACACGCACATTTCGGCTGCCGTTACTACTGCACGTGTCACCACGTGCTCCGACATTACAGCGTTACGGAGACTCTCCAAGACCTCGATCTCGCGAACGGTGCGTCGCGCATCCGCATTCGGCTCTTGATCGCTGCGATCTTTCGTTAACATTGTTACAAACGAGAAGATTTCCGTCGCGTTCGGGACTACCGTATAGTTCTGTCCAAGATTTCCATCGTGTACGCGCGCAGCAAGTCCGATCAAGCGCAAGATTTCCGTACGTTCCCGTTGAATTTTTTTTCCACCATATAATAGCTGTAATTTTTCCAAATAGGACCCATAATGTACGAATCATTATGTTAGATATTAACACGTTATTTTGCAATATATTTTCTTATCAAACTGAGGACCATTTCAAATTCATTTTTGAATTAGTTTCAGTCATTTAAAGAGATAATTAATTTTTCTAAATATTAGGACCTTTTATAAGAATCATTATGTTCGTCGAGTGTGCTTAATTGTTACATGTGAACTTTAGTTATCTGTGAAATGCCGAATAAAGTGTTTTTAAACGATATTTCCGCTGTTAACAGTCAATCCCCTCTTCCACTCTATTCACGATCAAAATTGTATTATCAGCGCAATCCGCAACAGTAGATTTCCTCTTTTTCTCTTCTCTCTCTGTCTCTTTTTCTATTTTTTCTCTCTGTTATTAATATTATATATATTATATATTATTGAATATTATATATGTGCATTTTTATATATATCATATTTTATATGTGTATATTATTATATGTATATATTACATATATATTACCTCCCATTTCTTAACAATTGTTTTATTCATTAACCCCATTCACGATGTGTCACGAGATGTCATCGAACTGTCACCGAACTTTCAGTAATTACGTTCACACCTTTCTTTAACGAAAGCATCGACCGCCAATCACGTACGCGGAAAAGCGGCAACAATTACAAGCGATATAACAGGCACTTCAGGGTACAAATGACATTTTTTATTATAGACTAGAACAAAACAAAGCGCGCGCTTCGCGCGCGCCATTTATTCTGTTGATTATATATTTTTAATGACATATATACTTACTTTATGAACATAATTAACTTCTTGATACAGCTGTCAAAATTGAAATAACAATCGAAGTAAGTGTGGCGAGGGAAGAAATAACATTTTGCAAAAAAGGCAGTAATAGTTTGATGGATTCAAGTATCCAATATGTATAGAAAAATATACAATAATTATATATTATATAAATGTGGGATGGAGCACGGCTTTTTGTCCGCTCCACCCGTTATATTGTTCCGCGAGGGTTTTCGACGGACCTCGGCGATGCCCGTGAAAACTCGGGCGTTTTAACGCGATCGGGAGCGACCCGGCAGTCGGGAAAAGATCGTGCGAGCGAACACATGGAAAAGATCGTGACGACTGCCGTCGAGGCCATATATATATATATATATATATATATCATTCCTTCAAAATTCTGTATTCGCGTAAATCCCAATAAAATATCTATATTACATTTTATTGTGGAAAAAACAACCATTTTCTGGATTTTCCATCGAACCTAGTCAAATTCATATCCCACATAAATAAACATATACATTATAGTAAATGTTCAAAAAAGTCAAGATGATCTTGTCCTGACTATGCCAACGTCATCCAATGTCAAAATAATAACATCTGTAATTAGATCTTCATAAACTCTGCAACTTTTATCCAAAATACTTTTCTGTATAACTTATTATTTTCTACATTTTCCAGGGATTCTTTGTTCTCAGTATGTACACATACACACATACACACACACACGCACGCACGCACGCACACAAGGCACGAATTTTACTTGGTCACTGCCAAGACTTAAATATATGGAATAATCTCATCTTTGTGTGAGATTTAATTCTATTGAACCCCCTCTGACCCCCCTTAAAGAAATAAATACGAGAAAAATATAGATCCGAAAGTGGCTGAATCGGGAATCGAACCCAAGAACCTTATATTTAAGAGAACCGAAATATTTAATATTTTATTATTAAAATATTAATAAAATAAATGTTTATTTAACGTTTATTACATATTTATTTTATTAATATTTTTAAAAAATATAAAAATATATAAAATATTTAATAAACGTTAAATTAATATTTATAATACATTAACATATAAAAGTAAACTTTTTTTAATGAATAAAAAGGGACTTAACCAATTATTTTAACATTTTTTAAATAGCTTTTAAAATGAGTTTTAAACATTTTTTATACATTTATTTGCTACTTCGTAGTGGTTGCTTACTGAAGCTGTTTATGTAAACAAATGGAGAAGTTTGCATTCTCTGTTTCTCTCTACGCAGATATAAGGTGAATCAAAAATATTATTTTCAAAATTTGTGAGCTTGTTCCTTTTTATGCAAGAATACACAAATTTTTTAAACATACTTTTGACTCACCTTGTACACACACACCGATTACACTTATTACTTTTAATGATGATATAATTTTTACCTATTGTGATAAATTTTCTTCAAATTTCTTTTTCTTTAACGTGCGATTAACATTTATTATAGTAGTCAAAGACATTCGCTCTTCTAATTTCTTAATGTCTTTTAGACTTTGTACTGAAAAGTACGGTGGATCAACTGTAAATAATTATTACACAGTTATTATATATAAAAATAAAATATATATGTATAATTTCAAAAAAGAATAAAGGTATTAACATATAATCATAAAAAAATTGCTGTGAAATGTGTGTGTATACGAAGGAAAGGAAACAAGGAAATTATTTTAAACAATTACTTAAATATTTAATAATGTTATTGAATTTAAAATTTGTTAATTTAATGTTGTTTGAAAATTTGTAAGTTCAAAAAATAAATAAATTTGTCGATAATTCTTTAATTTAGTTGATAATCGAAGATATAAATTTATTGACATTTTTTGATTCACAAAAACATTTTTAAGAAGCCCTTAAATTTATTATTATATTTTTTTGAAACACCATGATTACAAAATCAAAATATTAAAGCAGGAAAGTTTAAAATTAATGAAATTGAAATTAATAATAATAATAATAAATATTTAAACATTTCTTACTTGCATATTGCATCTCGCCAATTACTTTAATTTTATCTCTTTTCATAAGTTCATAATCGTTTTCTTCAAAATTTGTAATATGTACTTCTAATTTAAAGTACCCATCAGTGATGGATCCACATCCAATTTTCTTATTCAAATTAGTTTTATAAATTGGTCCAAAATTGGACTTTATATAGCCCTCTAATGCTATAAAAGAAAAAATATATAAACATATATAAATATATAAATATATAAACATATAAATATATAAACATATAAATATATAAACATATATACAGAGTGAGTCTAATAGAAAATTCATTACGTTCTTCTCAAAAAGAAAAGGTTAAAGATAAAGGAAGATATAAAGAATAATATATATTATCAAAATTATAGGTTTAAAAATATCTATTTACAAATCTTATCACTTTGACCTTAAATGGTGTTGCCAAGGTCAAGACAAAAACTTGAATTTTTTAAATAGAATCACCATACTATTTTATACAAATCGATTTCTATAATATTCTGTATAAAAAGTTATAAAAGTAAAAAGGTCAAAAAGTGAATAATTTACGAGATATTTCATATTTTAATTTGACATAATCTTACATAAATTATGAAATATATATATATTGTTTGCGCGTACGCTCGATTGTTGATGTTGAACGTTCGCGCACGAAGCTACGGACACTGACAATCGGGTTGTAAATCCGATCGTCGAAATCCGTCTCGTGTATCGGTTGCACAAGAAGGTTCAAAGTGGAGTGTATCTTAAGGAGGGTGGATGCGCTCCGATTGGTGCGCGGGATAGGTAATGATTTAAGCCGCGTGCCGAATCGAGAACCAGAATACTGAATTATATGCACACATTACACAAAAACAATCCATTTATTAATTAAATTAAATTTGTCCGGGAATCACAATATACATAAACGCAAATTAGTTTGAAACTTTTACATAAAATCTTTAGCTCATAAAATAGTCACCGCGAGAACACGTACGACGTGATTGCTAAGCAGTCCGGGATATCTCGCTATATGGTATCTGTTGAGAGGGACAGTAGGACAGGTACTCAACTTAATCGAGAGAACGAATGCGTTTCAGTCTCAAGTAAGATTATTTAATTGTTACTCTGGCTCAAAGATACAAGAAAGAATAGAAAAGAATTACGAGACAGTCACACGCGAGTCGCGGGGTACAGACAGTAACAACGTTAGTGAAAAACAAAAAAAGAGGGGAACGTCCCGTTCCCAAAAGATAGCGACACCTAACGGCGTAATCACAGCAAGATGTCGTTACCGAACGCACTCGAGATCGTAATCCAATCAGAGAAGGACGATCTCTAACAGTATCTAGCATGTGTTGCATGGAACCACCGAGAGACTATCTGTTGCATAACAATTGCTATTGACGATGAACACGCTCGAAACTCATGTATCGAATCTTTCGAAATCTCACCTTAAGATTTCGTACACGTTGCCGATTGCGGCGAATGCGATATTAAATCGCGAACCAAATTGTCTCATTTAACATGGATAGTCACTGATCACATAAAACGTTACAGTGCGTTGAGCACCACGGGCTCGAAGGGATGAAAAAAAGGAACGCAAACACAATCACGACATCAGGTGTCAGTCCCAAGTGACTGATCACGTGATCTGCGCGCGCCAACTCACGTGATCTACGCGTGCCAAACGAACACGCGCGAACCTCATGTATCGAACAGATACTTTTAATTAATACAATTATTACGTGCGTGTAAACGATCGGATTTCGGCACCTTGATATTTCACCGCCGCGCGAATTCTGGTCACACAAAATCACTGAATATCGCTTCGTTGAAAATGTCTTAAACGCAAACTTTATGTCGCGTATATAACGGTGCACCTTGCTGCTACCGTTAATTAACGAATGTCAAAGTGAACGTATTTCACATCTCACATATCACTGAATCCCAGCGGGAGATCACTCTGACTATTTTTTTTATTAATCAAACGAGCTACGAACAATTAGAATCGCGACGAGAAAACCCACATGTGACTGTTCGCAAAGTCGAGCCGGGAGCGAATGACCAAGTTCGATGACGAGGCAGTTCATCCCCGATCGATTCGATAATCGAACGCTCGAAGCGCGGCGTGTAGGTTCAGTGCGTGCTGCCCCGTGCCGGATTAAATAAAAAATTATAGAATTTCAAAATTACCGACCTACTTCTTCATTATTTTTGAACAAATAATAAAAGTCTTGACCCGGGGTTAACTTACTTCTGAACATATATATATATATATATATATATTATATATATATATATATACAATATATATATATATATATATATATATATATATATATATAATCTTGTAAAATATTCATTTTTCAATAATCTTATCCTAATACTTTTATGTACAAAATGGCTTCTAGTTGAAAATTACATATTTTTTCTTAAAAACAATTATGTATTTTCTCTAGACTAATCGATTTTTCTCATTATTTTATTCATAAAAATATTAAGATAAGATTATCAAAAAATGAATATTTTAAGAGAAATTTCACAGTTCATGTAAGATTATGTAAAATTAAACTATAAAATATTTTATAATCTATATATTCACTTTTTAATCATCCTACTCTTTTATAACTTCTTATACAGAATATTACAAGAAATCAATTTATAAAATAATAAAAATATATGATGATCTTATTTAAAAAATTCAAGATGTTTTTACTTTGATCTTGGTAACGTCATCCAAAATCAAAGTAATAAGATTTGTAAATCGATATTTTAAACCTTAATTTTGAAAATAGATATTTTCTATATCTTCCCCTATCTCTAATCGTTTTTGAAAAAAACGTGGTGGACTTTTTATCAGATTCATCCTGTATATGTATATATTCAGGATGTTCGATTTAATCGGTCTACACCAATATTTCGAAAAATATAGAAAATACGAAAAAAATGTTTTATATAAAAGTTTTATGACTTTGAGGGAGACAGACAGGATATCATTGGTTTGATCTTGCATAATCGTTTGAATCTTACGTGAAGGTCACTTTCAATTTCTTAAATGGAAACCCTTATTTTTTAATGCATATTCTTGTAGTTGCTTATTTCGAGAACTTTCCAAAACACTATAATAAAATACTTTCCTCTTAAGTACTTTTTGAGATGTTTACAATTTTTTAACATAAAACATAAAATTATCTTGTAAAATATTCAGTTTTCCGTAATCTTACTTTAATACTTTTATGCACGGAATAATGAGACCAATTAATTGATATAAAAAAAACAAATAAGTATTTAAAAAAATGTAAGTAATTTGCCACTGCAACTGCACACTTTTTTTTAATGCAACTATGTATTTTTTTACACTAATTGATTGGTTTCATTATTCTATGCATAAAAGTATGTAACGAAGCACCTTTCCCGACGCCACGGATTAGCTCGTCGGTGCCAGGATTCGGGAAGAGGGGAGACTCAGATTTGCAATAACACGCGGTTGTTCTGGTAAAAGTATAGTTTATTCGGGCCACTTTTCAGGGGTTGACCCGTGGTTTAGTCTATCAATACAGAGTATCGCATAACAGATGAAACGCGACCAGATGTTACGGACGCGGACACGACTTCTCACTACAATTTACAGATAAAAATATTACGGATGAGACTCGGCCTACACGACGAGAACGCTCGTCGGCCGGGATGACTTACGGACAGGACCCGGTGACCGAGAACGCTCGGCCTACGCGACGAGAACGCTCGTCGGCCGGGATGACTTACGGACAGGACCCGGTGACCGAGAACACTCGGCCTACACGACGAGAACGCTCGTCGGCCGGGATGACTTACGGACAGGACCCGGTGACCGAGAACGCTCGTCGGCCGGGATGACTTACGGACAG